AAATTTGATAAGGCAAAAAGATGTAAAAAAGTTTACTGACATAATTTAAAACCACTATACCTTTTTTATATTTGAAATGCTTGGATGTAAAAAGCACTTGTGCTTTAAAGACTACATAGAAATCAAATGTACAATCACCTGGCTCTGATACCTTTATAAATGGCAGAACCTTTAAGAATTTCGACAATTCAGACTAAAATTGACCACTATCCACAGAGACAAAGCCCAATAAAATCCCTTCATATTATCCTGATGGACTTTCCCCTGATATTGTAAAGGACAAAGTAGTGCCTCTACAGGTTATATAAAACATTATCCCAGCACATAGCAGGTACTTTTTAAAAAATATGCATTGAATGTATTAATTCATCTGATAAATCTTAAACTGCAGTCTGTAAAGCAATTCTCTAGTATCTGATTGTTAGAATGTCCCACAAACAGATTGGGCCTTTTTAAAGAAAACAACAAACTGAAGCAGAGAAATCAATACAATAAAAATTTTAAATCCTAGAAAATACTGTAGAGTATGAAAAAATTTTTTAAAATGGAAAAAACAAATTAATGAAATTTAAATTGCACAAGAAGTTAAAACTAAGTTAATAATTTAATATATAAAACTTAAGATTAATGATTAATAGTAAAAAAAAGTTCCAAGTGTAAGATTAGTAAGATTAACTCAGCAGAGAGAGGTATAAAAAAAAGAAACCAAATAGAAGAAATTAGTCATGAAGGATTTGTAAGGAAATTCATGAAGTATGCAAAACTCCTAGGTACTGGCTTGGGCACTGCAGATACACAGAGAGATATGGTGGTCCTTGACCTCCTGGAATGCTCAGTTAAGGAGACTTACAGCTAATTGTTTTCATTTACCTTTGTCTTTCACTAAAGCCTAAAGAAGTGTGTCTGATACTCTGGAAATCTTCAGCAAAGTCAAATGAACTTGGGCTCATACAGGAACTACCAAATTAATTGCATCAAGGCAAACATATTTATTCTAATTTTTGAGTAATAAAATATTCTGTTTTAAAATGTCAAAATATTATTTATAAATACAAAACAATATTTTATAAATATTATAGCCAAGTTACAATTACTTTCTAGGAAATTGGGGACAGCATGAGAAAAAAGGTGAGAGAAGTTGAGAAGGACTCAGAAAAGGAATGGAAGAAGCAAACTCCTACTAAAAAAGGGAGGGGTCAGCTGCAGTGGCTCACAGCAATTTCGAAGACCGAAGCAGGCAGATCACGAGGTCAGAAGTTCCAGACCAGTCTGGCCAATATGGTGAAACCCTGTCTCTACTAAAAATACAAAAATTAGCCAGGCCTGCTGGCATGCGCCTGTAGTCCCAGCTGTACATGGGAGGCTGAGGCAAAAGAATCCCTTGAACCCAGGAGGCGCAGGTTGCATTAAGCCAAGAGGGAGCCACTGCACTCCAGCCTGGGCGGCAGAGGCTGTCTCAAAAAAAAGAAAAAGAAAAAGAAAAGGTGGGGCGGGAAAGAGTTTGGAGACCTAAGAGAAACCAAAAGCAAAATATGGTAGAAAGACAGAGAGAAAACCAAAAGGGGACATAAGTACATAGGCCTTGTCATATACTTGGTGTCTCAGTTGTGTGTAATACCTGTCAAATAACTGAAATATTTCTCACATTTCTTGGGTTTTGGATTAAGCAGATTGATGAAAATGTCACCACATCTGAGAGGTTTTCTCTGACCATCAAATGTAAAATGGCACCCTTCTATCCTCATTCTTAACTTGCTGTATGCATTCCTCATTATACTTAGCACTATCTTAAATTTGTTTATTGTTTGCCTCCCCTTCCAATCCTGAAGACCGTAAGGTCCATAAAAACAGGGAGTTCACCTGTTTTGCTGCTGGTTTCCTAATGCCTAAGGCTGTTCCAGGCACATGGCAGACTCTCAAAAAGTATTTGCAGCATGACATAATTTCTAACATAATTGAAGTGCACAAATATCTATAACTACAGGAATAGAGGCCACTACTGAGTTGTCACAACGGTTCAACTGAATGAGTGACTCAGATTTTCTGGGTTTCACTTTCCTCATCTATACAAAGAGGATAATAATAGTAAATCACTTCTTAAAGTTATTTTAAGATAGTTCATGTAAAGCTCTTAAAACAGTGATGGACTTTTAGTAAGCACTTAGCAAAATTTAACAGTTATTATATTTTCCTTTTCACTGAGTTAAAATGCAAATTAGAGTGTTCAAACATTTTCAGGTCAAAAATGAAAGGGAGAGAATATGAGCTTTTGAACTATTTGAATCCCACCCAAGAAGAGTAGTTGGGGAAGTTGAAACAAAGATCACATTATTCAGTGATATTTCTTGACTAAGCATGACTTATTATGTGTTAATGCTACTAAAGTGTAGCTAGAACTGAAGTAGAAATTCCTATAGTTCATCATAGAAGCACATGTAAAAAGAAACCTCTTTATATAGAAAATATTAATGGTGATGGCAAAATGGCACCTAATAACTAAACCCTTCTTATTTCTTCAATCAGGGGAGAGACATGAAGGCAGAGGAGAAATGAACGCATAAAATAACTGGCAATATGAATCTATCCATAGAACTTAGGAAGTCTCGTCTGCCTGAAAATGACTGTGTGGATCCCACCCAAATCCAACTCATACTGGTTTGCTACACACTGGTTCATCAAATGAAGGTTACCGAGGGGAAGAAACTAAACAAGATGTTTGCACTTCATGTTACTTTTTGAGTTTATAAACATAAAAATAGAATTTACTTCCGTTACAGACATAGGTAATTCATTACTTGCCATGGACTACCTTTGCTAAGAAAAATCTGAATGAGAAGATGGCAAGAAGTCTGAAAAGAAAAGTTATTATTAATAAAATCTGCGGAGAATTGTAAATTCTGCCTTCATTGTTGATCCAAACCCTTCTTCTAAGACCTCCCCTTTATAGACATCTATCTATATACCTACCTACCTACCTACCTATCTATCTACCTGTTTTCACTTTACTTTCCGGCATCAAGTTCTGAGTGGGTAAGGCCTAAGCACTGATTTGGCTTTGGTAATGAACTTGAAGTTAAAAACATATTAGCTTGTGCTAAGCTGCCATTTGAAAGGTCTCCTCTAGCATCTGAATTAAGGGAAACAATGTTTTGAAGCAGTCACAAAACTTTTCTAATGCATTCGATCTGAGGTAAGACCTGATAACTTGTACTTCTAAATTATCCAGGTGATGCTGATGCTGCTGGTCCGGAGACCATATCTGGAGAGCTTTACTTTAAAGGAAATGAAACTGCCCTAAAATGTTAATACTAAATAGCCACACAAAGCCGGAAAATCGCACAGAACTTCAAGCCGAAGATGAAAGGTCCTGAAAAATGGCAGCGGTCATCCTACTCCCGGTACGGCTATGCGGGCATGAAAAAGAGTCTTGGGGCCCATCGTGCCCTTCCATGCAGGCTCCCTCATAAGGTCATCCCATCAACCTTTGCCACAAACGCCCGCCCCCTCATAGGGCCGTCCGGCCACGCCCCTCCGTGCCCTGACGACAGAGCCACACTTTAAGCCGCTGCCACGTTACGCCCATCCGGCTCCCGCATATGGCGTCACGAACGTTTAACGTCCATCCGGCGCGCGTCCGGGACGTTTCTCCGTAGGCAGCTAGCTGGTGGTTCCCAGTCCCCGGCGAGTGGACCTCTTTCTTCTGCGGCCACCAGATCGCCGGACATCGGAGACTTCGAACAATCCGGTGGAAAGTTTAAAAACAGAGGACCGGCCGTCGCAGTGGCTCACGCCTGTAATCCCAGCACTTTGGGAGGCTGAGGCGGGCGGATGACGTGGTCAGGAGATAGAGACCATCCTGGCTTACGCGGTGAGATCCCGTCCCTACCAGGTGTACAAAAAATTAGCTGGGTATGGTGGCACGCGCCTGTAGTCCCAGCTACTCAGGAGGCTGAGGCAGAAGAATTCGCTAGAACCCGGGAGGCGGAGGTTGCAATGACCGAGATCGCGCCACTGCACTCCAGCCTGGCGACAGAGCAAGACTGCGTCTCAAAACAAAAAAACAGAGGACCGGAAATTTTGAAGACTGAGAAGCCAGGCAATAATCTTCCCTTGATCTTTTTGCTCCTCTCACAAGAGTTTTTCAGACTGCTGAAACCAACGAGAAGAGTGAGGAAGCAGGAAGAAAATTTCAGCTTCAGTCTCAGCATCCTCCTGCTTTCTTCTCAGAGAGCTGGCACTTCCCCCCTTCTCTAGTAGCTGAAAATATGCCTCCCATCTCCAAGGAGACGTTTCTTGTACCTCCCTTAATGTTCTCACGCCTGTAGGGCTCTTCGTGTGAGGATTCGGTGTATGTATGTATATGAATGTGTGCGAATAATTATTTCCTAATTGAATGTTTTTTTTAAAAAAAAAATCATCTTCAGGTACAGTTAGTGCCATCCTCCATTAAACAGCAGGCACGGTGTCTAGGGCCCAAAGTTCTTTTGGGGGCTTATGAAAATATTTTAATTTCTTCTAAAGTCAGAAGGGAAAAAATGAACATTTAAGTCGAAGAAGACGTTATATATTAATCTTCATATGACTTTAATAAAGGAAGGTGCCCACGAAGGCAGAAGCACTTCAGGAGCAAGAAAGACAATGCAGCCGTTGGTGCACATAGCTGACAACCCTTACGAGTTATTTTTATTTCTTTTTATTTTTTACACATACATTTCTAAGTGATTTCCAGATACTGTCAGCCCCAAAACATATCTGTGCACTGTTATCCCACTTTTTTTTTTTTTTTTTTTTTTTTGAGATGGAGTCTCCCTCTGTTGCCCAGTCTGGAGTGCAGTGGTGCGATCTCACCTCATTGCAACCTCCACCTCCCGGGTTCAAGCGATTCTCCTGCCTCAGCCTCCTGAATGGCTGGGATTACAGGCGCGCTCCACCATGCCCTGCTAATTTCTGCATTTTTAGTAGAGACAGGGTTTCACCATGTTGGTCAGGCTGGTCTGGAACTCCTGACTTGTGATCCGCCCGCCTCGGCCTCCCAAAGTGCTGGGATTACAGGTGTGAGCCACCACGCCCGGCCTGTTATCCCACTTTTACCCACGAGTATATACCAAGTGAAGCTTAAAATAACTTGTCCAATGTCCTACGCCTAATACATGACAGAGAGCTTTCTGACCTAGGCAGGTTAGCTCCAGGGTCCCTTCTTTACATTACAAATATTATCTCTTGGTAACTCTAAGGAATTAATTTAACAACATGTAAAAACAAAACCTTGCATTTCATATGATCAGTGAGATTTCCACTTTTCTCTCTGCCAATAATAGTACTGCACATAAATATAGTACAGTATATACCTGTCTCTTTTTTTTATGGTACTCTCCCCATATCACACTACACGCCCACGCAATTACCACTTCTCTGGTCCTTCAGGGATGCTTCTCTCTTCATCTTGCTTCAGCACCCCAACACCATGTATGGAGATGAAGTCTCCATTCTCTGCATTGAAAACACACACCAACTTGAGTCAACCAGATTCCCATAGCAAACAGTGTGAGTTGAGTTTAGAATCAGAGAAATATTTTAGCATTATTCACCCTCTCTACCCACCTTATTCCCAGGGATACAGAGTTAAAGCATCCAGTGAAGAGCTATCTATAGGCAATTAGAATATGTCAGCAAAGAGGCTCCCAGAAAACTCCAAAAATGCCTAACTCTGTTCTACTCACCTGCTGATTATGTCTAGACCAAATGCCACACTGTTTTAATTACTGTAGGTTCATATGTCTTCATATATGGTGGTAAGTCATGGCCCATCACTCTCTTCTTTCTTTTCCTTTTTCTTTTTTTCTTTTTTGAGAATCATCTTGACTATTTTCATTCATTGATATGAATTTTACAGTGCTCTACAAAATATTCATTAGGGTTTGCTTGACATTGCATTTTTCAGTAATTTAGAAAACTATCCTTTTAGGAGAGTTTATATGAACATTTTAGTATATTGAATCATCACAAAACATAAACATAGTACACTATAAAGCTGCCTCTTTTTAAAATGGATATTGTTTTATGTACTTAATGACATTACAAAATTTTTATCATATACATCTGGAATATTTACTCTTGGATTTAGAATCTGTTGTACTGTTGTGATGTCTAGTTTTTCTATAATATCTTGATTTCAGATAGGCAATCACTAGTGTACAAAACTGCCATGAATTTTTGTATGGTACTCTCATGCCCACTAATTCCAATTCTTTTTTTTTTTTTTTTTTGACGGAGCCTTGCTCTGTCGCCAAGGCTGGAATGCAATGATTCAATCTCGGCTCACCGCAATCTCTGCCACCCAGGTTCAAGCGATTCTTCTGCCTCAGCCTCCCGAGTAGCTGAAACTATAGGCACGTGCCACCACACCCAGCTAATTTTTTGTATTTTCAGTAGAGACCGGATTTTACTGTGTTAGCCAGGATGGTCTCCATCTCCTGACCTCATGATCTACCCTCCTCGGCCTCCCAAAGTGATGGGATTACAGGTGTGAACCACCGCGCCTGGCCTATGCCCACTAATTCCAATTCTTATTTGATGTAATTGTTTATAGATTCTCATGAACTTTTACCTTGACAATTACGTTATTTTCAAAAATAATCATCTTTTCCTGTTGAATCCTTGCTCTTCTCACTGTCTGTTCCTATCTCATGGTATTGGCCAAACTCTGTGATGTTTGAATAGGAGTAGTTTCACACCACACTTGTCTTCCTTCCACCTCTATGGGAATCCTTCCAAAATGGCACCATTAAGTGTTATACTCACTGTAGCTACTCCTTATGAAGTTCTCTTCTCATTGTTAAGTGTTTATGATGAAAGAGTGTTACATTTTGTTAAATGCTTTCTCATTATCTTTGGAGATGATCACATTTTTTATTAATCTTTTTATTTTATATTTTATTTTTGAGATGGAGTCTCACTCTGTCACCCAGGCTGGAGTGCAGTGCCTTGATCTAAGCTCATTACAACCTCCACCTCCCAGGTTCAAGTGATTCTTCTGCCTCAGTTTCCCAAGTAGTTGGGACTACAGGTGCATGCCACCATGTCTGGCTAATTTTTGTATTTTCAGTAGAAGACAAGGGTTCCTGCCATTGGCCAGGCTGGCCTTGAACTCCTGACATCAAGTGACCCACCTGCCTCGGCCTCCTAAAGTACTAGGAATGCAGGCGTGAGCCACTGCTCTGGGCCTTCCTTTATTAATTTCTTAAACTGGCAGATTTAGAATGCTAAACTTCCTTCTATTCTTAGAATAAACCCTATATAATATGCTATTTATTTAAATAATATGGTCTCTGCAATTTCTTCTGGTTTCCATGTTTTCTCATAATAGGCATTTATTCCTAAAAAACAAAAATGAATGTTCATTAGTGAGACAAAGCTATACTTTTGTTTTTTTCTTCTCCCTTTTTAAAATTTGTATTCTCTTCCAGTTTTGCTAATAACGTTATACAATTTTAAAAGAAAAAAGTGAGTAGGAGAGCTATTTTTCTATAGTAACAGATTCTGTAAAATAGGTATCATGCCAAGTGAGGTGGCATGTCCCTGTAGTCCCAGCTACTTAGGAGGTGAAGCAGAAGGACCACTTGAGCCCAGGAGTTAGAGACTGTAGGGTGCTGCCATCACGCCTGTGTATAGCCACTGCACTACAGCGGAGGCAACATAGCGAGACCCATCTCAGAAAAAAAAAAAAAATAAGAGATGATCTATTCCTTAAAAATTCACTAAAACTTGGAAAATCAGATTGGACTTGGCAGTATTTGGGTGGAAGGACACAGAAAAGATTTTTTTTTTTAACTGCCTACCTTATTTTCATAATCATAATTTGTTTACTCAGCTTGTCTATTAATTTTCTTCTTTTTCTTGAAAATTATGTTCCACTGAGTTTAATTTTTTGTAAACATTACACAGCATTCTCTTATCGTTCTTTATATCTCCCTTTTTGTAGTTATGTTCATTAATTTCTATAACTTTCTGAAACCAGGATTAATTTTTTTTTTGAAATTGTCCAATGTATGCTTTGAAAAATAGAAGGGATGTTTTCTATGTCAAATGAAGGTAATCATAGATAGATCAAATTTGCTTATTGTCTTATTCAAATCCTGAACAACCATTAGCATTTTTCTTTGTTTGTAATATAAGTGTCTAACACTCATACAGAATATTGAAAAGTTACCCTACAATTGTAAATTTGAAATTCCCCTTCTAATTCTGTCAGTTATTTATTGACATAGTAGTGGTTCGGTAGTCCAGTGCATATAAGGTTTTGAATGTTACATCTTACTTTTGGATTTTTATTTTATCATTATGGAGTATAGCAAAGTTCTCTTTTGTTCTTTTTCAAATGTACTTGGTTTTGATTATCCCGTGCTCCTTGATTGTTTTATTATTCTATTTTTTATTTCATTAAACTTTTAGTAAATAGTTATTTTTATAGTCTGTATCTAATCATTTCAATATCTGAAATCCTTTGTTTGCTTAGGGATCTAGGAGGAAACAGAAGGCTCTTCTTTGCTTATAAGCCAAACTCTCCAAAGTGTCTGTTTTTCTTCAATTTTGTGACATTTGTTACGACCTTATATTTAAACATCCTAAGTTCCTGACAGAGTGTCTGGCATATAATAGGTGTTCAATAAATGATTCCTCAATAAATAGATAATGTGTATAAATGTAGAGAACTTGGGTTCAAGATGATTTCCTCCTGAAGGGATTTGTGTTTGTCTTCATCAGGCACGAGGGGGCACTATAAGCCCGAGTCAATTTAATTTCAGGACGTCTTCTTTGGAACTCAAGACTTCATTAAAACTTAGGGTTAAATCTTTGGGGCCAATTTTCTCCATCCACCTCCTCAGAGCCAGCGTCCTGTAGAGACAAACAAGGTTTTATCCCAGGGATGTTTACTAGGTTTTTTTCTTCTTTTTTCCTTTTTTTCTCCAGGCTACCCTTGTTTCAAAGCATTCTGGCTTTATGCTATGTGTCTTCACTTTTGTTTAAGAGCCTAGAATTCTATTCCCTAAGGGGCAGACTTTAATTCCCAGAGCTCGGAATCCTGATTAATGGTATTTGCACCCAGAGAACCAAAGATGTCCTATTTGTCACCCTCGTTTCAGCTTCTAAATTTTATTGTTCTGGATGGTTTATGGGAATTTCCCTTGTGGTTTTTTCTTTGCTTTTTTTTTCTTTGGGGGTGTGTGTGTGTGTTTGAGACAGTCTTGCTCTTTCACCTAGGCTGGACTGTAGTGGCATGATCTCGGCTCACTGCAACTTCCACTTCCCAGGTTCAAGCGATTCTCCTGCCTCAGCCTCCTGAGTAGCTTGGATTATAGGCGTGCACCACCACGCCCGGCTAATTTTTGTATTTTTAGTAGAGATGGGTTTCACCATGTTGGCCAAGCTGGTGTCCAACTCCTGACCTCAAGTGATTCACCCGCCTTGACTTCCCAAAGTTCTGGGATTACAGGCATGAGCCACCGTGCCCGGCCCCTTGTGTTTTTTGTTAATTGAGTAACTAAGTACTAGTTTGTTGGTTGTCGTTTCTCTAGTTCATAGGTGTATTGCTTCAATAGAGTTTTCTGGAATATCTTGTTTTCCACATTGCAGATAAGAGTCCTTACAGTGTCCCTCTCTATCCCTGTAAACACCTTTGCTTTAATATTTTGTCTGATACTAATATTGCTAAACTAGCAATGTCTTGGTAAACATTTTCCGGGGATATTTGTCCCTCATCTTCTTTATTATTGTTATTATTGTCTTTTTAAATCCACGCATGATTTGTTTTTAGGCCCAAATAAGAGGAGTACTCTCTAAGGCACATTATTACATATATTCTTTGCTTCAATTTAAAAAAATCGTAAAAAGATAAAATACTGTTCATGTTCAGAAACTGACACATGCTTTTTTTTTTTTTTTTTAGAAAGGCAAAATAAAATTTCCATGAAATTACAACCATATAGCAAAATACCTTGGATATATTCCATTTAATGTAATATCTCACATTATTTTTGAGTTTCATTGTATGTAAACCTGAAAAAAAAAAAAATCACTGTTCTTGGAGCTGGAGAGAACTTTTATGGGAAAGATGACTATCAGAGAAATCTACTTATTTGTAAGCATACTAGCCAATTTTGTTTTTAAAGTAATGATCCTGTGGTCCAGGTAACAGCACCCTTCAGCTCATCATCAAGTGATTACTACCTCAGAAGAGTTGAGAGCAATTGGGATTCAGGAAGTATGACTAGACAGGCAATTTTCATGATATCCAACATATATTGCTTTAAATAATATATGTCACTAATTTCTGATTACATTAAAATAAAACCAAATGTATTTAATCTTTTACATTTTTATTTTTTTAAACATCAGACCCAGTGAGATTTAAATGATATATCATTGATTGAAACTAATAATATTGATATTATTTTTCATTTTAATTTTGCCTATTTTATAGGCAGTTTTCAATGGCCTGTTTACATTTATCTGAGCTCTGTGATCAAAAAACAGCAATGGTTAAAGAAATCCTCCCCACCTTCTTTTGTTCCAAAAATGGCTTACTGCAAAAACCACCCTTCATCATATGTGATTTAAAGAAGACTCATTGGTCGAGCCTGGTGGCTCAGGCCGGTAATCCCAGCACTTTGGGAGGCTGAGGTGGGCAGATGACGAGGTCCTGAGATCCAGACCATCCTGGCCAATATGGTTAAACCCCGTCTCTACTAAAATTACTAAAATTAGCCGGGCGTGGTTCAACCGATTCTCCTGCCTCAGCCTCCCAAGTAGCTGGGACTACAGGCAGGTGCCACCATGCCCAGCTAATTTTTGTCTCCATCTCTTGACCTCGTGATTTGCCCGCCTCGGTCTCCCAAAGTGCTAGGACTACAGGTATGAGCCACTAACCCCAGCCAGGGAGCACATCTTCCATAGGGAGGTTTTATCTTCTACTTCTAGGAAGAAAAACGGGAGATCAGAGCACCCCTCTTGCATCTGCTGTTTTTAAGTCCCTTTAGCTCAAAATAATCCTTATGCCAAAATGACATATTGTAATCTGGAATATTCTGCCAGCTTTCACATGTTTATGTGAAGGTACTATGTGCCAGGCAGTATTCTAAGTGCTAGATATACATCAATGGATAAAACAAGCAAAAATTCCTGCCCTCTTGGATCTTACATTTCTATAGGGTTGTCATTCATTTTGTTTCATTTCTTTAACTTAAACAACCAAATCCTACTTGAATTAACACTGAACATTTTAATTACTGATGCTTTATCTGTGCTTTGATTGAATTATTTAAAAAAGAAATTCATGCAATTTATCTTATCAAGGAAGGCAACTAATCTAATAAGATTTAAATTCACTAATCCATCTCTACATAATTTCCAGGAAAAAATGAACAGATTTAATTCATAGAATTTTGCTTTTAAAGATCCTATCATCAATAACAATCAAAATATCTTTAAAAGATTAATCAGGCCCAACCAAAAGTGGTGGCTCACACCTGTAATCCCAGCACTTTGGGAGGTCAAGGCTGGCAGATCACCTGAGGTGAGCAGTTCGAGAGCACCCTGGCCAACATGGTGAAACCTCATCTCTACTAAAATATAAAAATTAGCCAGGCATGGTGGCACATGCAGGTAATTCCAGTTACTGAGGAGGCGGAGGCACAAGAATTGCTTGAATCCAGGAGGCAGAGGCTGTGGTGAGCTGAGATCAAGCTACTGCAGGTGTGTGCTACCACGCCCGCAAAGGAAAGGGAAGGGGAAAGGATGGGAGGGAAGGGGGGCAGGGAAGGGAACTCAGAAGCTGAAAAAAATATATATTACCTAGTGAGAAATAGGAAATGGAAAATGGTTCCCTCCATCCAGACATTTCAAACCTTGCAAGGACATTAAGGGTTGAGGGATGGCAGGGTGGCCTGCCATTTTTCTATGCCAGGCTTCAGCCTTGAGCTCTAGATCTATAGATGTATCTTCACCCTGAGCAGCTCTATGTGAATGTCTCAACCAGCCTCTCACCTTATTACATATATACTAGAGAAATGTGTGCACATCTACACCAGGAAACATGTGCAAGAAAGTTCACTGAAGTAATGACCTCGATAATCCCAGATAGACACAATATGAAGGTCTGTTATAATAAATTGAGTAAACTAGTGTTACTGTATATTTAGCTATTTAAAATAATGAAACTATGGTACTGGAGTAACATATATGAACATGAATGAATCTCAGAAACATTGGTTTGGATAAAAACATCATAAAATTATATACAGCTTGTGATTCCATTTATGTGAAGACAAAAATAGGCAAAATGAAATGACTTACAATTTATGAATCCATTCTTAGATATTTAAACCAAGAAAAACCAAAAAACAAAAACAAAAATAAGATTGATTAAAACAAAATGTAGGGCCAGGCTTGGTGTCTGACACCTGTAATTTCAGTGACTGGGGAGGCTAAGATGGGAGAATGCCTGGGCAATATAGTGAGATCCCCTTCTCTAAAAAAAATTTTTTTTTTTTTTTGAGACAGGGTCTCACTCTGTCTCCCAGGTAGGAGTGCAGAGGCACAATCTTGGCTCACTGCAACGTCCAGCTCCTGGGTTCAAGCAATTCTCCTTCCTCAACCTCCCAAGTGGCTGGGATTGCAGGCGTGTGTCACCACGCCCAGCTAATTTTTGTATTTTTAGTAGAGACAGGGTTTCACCATTTTGATCAGGCTGGTCTTGAACTCCTGACCTCAGATGATCCACCCGTGTTGACCTCCCAGAGTGCTGGGATTATAGGCATGAGCCACTGTGCCCGGCCTGACATTCTAGTTCTTAAACTGCCCTTTATTTTGATGATGTATATATGTACTCTGTGAAAAGTGAAATATACTGTTCATAAGATTATGTGAGTGATTGCTGTTCGCCTAGCTCAAAGTTCTTCCTGTCTCTCCCACTGAATTGAGGAGAGTTATACAGGGCCTATTAATTACTAATGATATTTTACTTCTTAAACTGGGTTTTTAAGTACCAACCATTTGTTTTACAATTCTTGTTTATGTTGCATATATCCTTTTGTACAAATCTATTCACTATAAAAAGTTTAAAACTCTCTTGAGATCTCAATCAGAAACAGGAAATCTCAATGCCACTCTACAGTTACTGTCATTTTAAAATTTCCCATTGTCTTTTTCTTAATTGTGTGCCATATCACCATTTTTATTCATATAGATATATAAGTACAGAAATTTTAGTCTTTAGCAGGAATTTCAAAAATCACGAATGGCAGTGTTACCTACCTCATTTAAATCACTTAAGGGTCTCAATCCAATCTTGTCAGTTGAATATCTGATATGTGTAGTTTGGATGTAGTTAAGGGCCTTCATCTGCACTTTTCTTTCTGTTTCTTCTTGCAGTTGCAGATTGTATATGAACTCCTCTCTCTGTGGTTTTCTTTGTGTATATACATTTTGTGTCTCTCCAACAGATTAGTTCATCCTCTTTAGGTGAATTTCTTTTTCTTTTTATCCTACTCTTCACGTGTCTCTCCTTCCACTGCGTCTGTTTATTTTTTCTCTCCCTTTACCACTTTTCCCTTAATAGGGTTTAAATTTTCTGTCTCATTTGTCTTTCTCCTTTTTCTCTACTAAGTTATACCATAGAATCAAAAAATTTTTTCATTTCTAACCTCTTTTAGTCATTAAAGAAATGCTTCATTTTCCATTCTTTTAACATGAGAAAAACGCCGTTTCTCTTTTTGCAACACAGCCCACCAAGGTAGGTGAAGATGTCTTCTAACGGACTAGATACAAGTCAGATTGCCTAAATCATCATTCTGATTACACCTAGTATAAGCAATGGGGTTTTAGGCAGGACGCCGCCACTTGAGTTCTCTAATTTCCCTTTCTGTTAAATGAGAAAAAAGTAATATCACATAAGCTTTTTTTTTTTTTTGAGACAGAGTCTTACTCTTTCACCTAGGATGGAGTGGAATGGTGCAGCCTTGGCTCACTGCAACCTCCGCCTCCGGGGTTCTCCCTCAGCCTCTCAAGTAGTTGAGACTACAGGCGTACGCTACCATGCCCGGCTAATTTTTGTATTTTTAGTATCGACGGGGTTTCACTATATTGGCCAGGCTGGTCTCAAATTCCTGACCTCCTGATCCACACCCCTCGGCCTCCAAAAGTTTTGGGATTACAGGCGTGAGTCATCACTCCAGGCTGTTTTGTTTGTTTGTTTGTTTTTCTTTGAGATGGAGTCTCTCTTTCTCTTGTCCCGGCTGCAGTGCAATGCCAGGATCTCCGCTCACAGCAAGCTCCGCCTCCGAGGTGCATGCCATTCTCCTGCCTCAGTCTCCCAAGTAGCTGGGACTACAGGCGCCCGCCACCACGCCCAGCTAATTTTTTTGTATTTTTAGTAGAGACAGGGTTTCACCCTGTTAGCCAGGATGGTCTGGATCTCCTGACCTTGTGATCCGCCCGCCTCGGCCTCCCAAAGTGCTGGGATTACAGACGTGTAATCCCAAAAGGAGAAAGACAAATGAGACAGAACATTTAAACCGTATTAAGGGAAAAGTGGCACCGCGCCCGCCCCAAGATTTTTTGATTAAATAAATACAAATAAAGCGCATTAGCTGTTCTGAACACTGCTACATTAGCTAAATTGGAAATTTAAAAAAAAGATGTTAAACATATTTTAAAGTTTTCTCGTCATCACTGAAGTGAGAAAAACAAATTACTTTGTGAAACAAACATAAGACACAATAAATTCAGAGTACACTTTTGTTAGATGCTAACTCACAGAGTGGAATACATTTTGCGCAGCACCTTCATGCCTGGAGACTTAGGACCCAGGAAGTGGGAATGGTGGCAGGAGAGGAGAGGGTCTAGGGACCTGGGGAGCCTGGGGTGAAGGAGGAGGGCTTAAAAAGGACAGTCAAATTTAGGAAGAACAGTTTCTTAAACTGAACAGTTAGCTAAGAAGCGGCCTTTAGCCAAAGATAATAATAATAACTTGAAAGTAAAGCTCTTTGTTAAATAGCGGACCCTTTCATTTTAATTTTTTAAATAATATTTTCACTAGTAAGACTGAATATTTATTTCGGATTCTCGCTGTAGGGCTAAACTAGGTGCGACTTGCTTTTCCATTAAGGACTGAAGCCATTTTGGCTAAGACATGCTTTCCTGTCTTAGCTCTCTTCAAGAGATGCTATTTACTTTTGTTGTTGTTGTTGTTGTTCTCCGGACCATTATTGCCTGCCCTTTATTTTCATGATGTGTTTGTTCACTCTGTAAAAAGTGGGAAACACTGTTCTCGGGATTGTGCGGGTGATCGCCGGTCGCCTAGCTCGCCGTTCTTCAGGTCTCTCCTGATGCTCTAGAATCTACATCAGAATGCCAAGGAATAGCTTTTCCAGGAGCTTTTAAACCGACCTTACAATTCGAAGACGTAACTGCGCCAGAAGCTTTGTCTCCCTGGCATTTAAAAGCATAGAGGAGAGCAACTTTTAGTTTTTAAAATGAATAAGTAAACTAATCTGAATTGTTTGGAATGCCAGGAACGTGTTATATAAAATGTTAATTAGGTGACCCGTGCACGAAAACTGCTCTCAGGATACGACCAATAGGAGAGTAGACCTAGGCTCCTTCATTTGCATGCAGACTTCACGACAAAAGAACGAATCAGAGATAGAGAAACTAAATCTTCATTTACATAACATTGTCTACAAATTCCGAGGATCATGAGATGTAGATTTCATTTTGATTCCTACTTGCAGAACAGCGAAGGTAGCATGCCTGAGCCAGCGAAATCCGCTCCGGCCCCAAAGAAGGGCTCCAAAAAGGCCGTGACCAAGGCGCAGAAGAAGGACGGCAAGAAGCGCAAGCGCAGTCGAAAGGAGAGCTACTCCGTATACGTGTACAAGGTGCTGAAACAGGTCCATCCCGACACCGGCATCTCCTCCAAAGCCATGGGGATCATGAATTCCTTTGTCAACGACATCTTCGAGCGCATCGCCGGGGAGGCTTCCCGCCTGGCGCATTACAACAAGCGCTCGACCATCACCTCCAGAGAGATCCAGACGGCCGTGCGCCTGCTGCTGCCCGGGGAGCTGGCCAAGCACGCCGTGTCGGAGGGCACCAAGGCCGTCACCAAGTACACGAGCTCCAAGTAAACTTAGCCCTGCAACTGCCTTAGTAAACCCAAAGGCTCTTTTCAGAGCCACTCACCTTTTCACAATTGGAGCTATATACTGACACGTGAAGTTACTGGAAACTCTTGCAGCTGAAGTAGGCATGTTTTTAAAACTTAAAATGGTACTTGTTGGGCTGGTGGCTTTATGAAACTGGTTTCCGTGTTTTATGAGGTATCAGTCGATAGCACCTAAGAGACAACAGTAATTTCATGGTTTTGCTCTATGAAGACGAATTACGTTTCTCTTCTTGAGTCCTTAAAAGTCTACGGGTTTTACAAAAGAAGCCCACATAGGGGGCTGGAGCAGGGGTGGGGAAGGAGGAGACTGCTGCTCTCAAAATAGTTCTTAATGTTGAATTTGCTTTTTTCCTTTCTTTTCTCAATTCCTTCAAAAAGGTCTTAATTTGGATTTTTAGGTTCTAAAGGAAAAAATAAAACCCTCTTCCCTCCACTGCCCCACCTCTGCGACCTGTCTGGTTTCACCAACTAGACAATTCTCTGTGCAACCACACTCGCATTTGCACACAACACACATTGTTCATTGGTCGACAATCCCCATCTCATCTTAATCATGTTCTTAGAGAAGTTGGGTCTCCATTGTTAAGGATTCTCCTAATCACAAAAGCTGACTATATATTTATCCCCAATCCAATCATTAATAAGGGGCATGTGATCTTTAGGATAGGTGTAGCCAAATTAATCAGATCCTTGAGGCTAAAAGGAACTCTGCCTTCTCCGGAGAACAAGTCAGGGAACAAAGAAATAAAGTTGTATTAGGAAGAAAGGAGGGGAAATGACTTTTGGGGAGAAGGCATCTGCACTGCCTGATACAAGCACCTTCCAGGCGAAGGTGGATGAAAGCTACATCCTGTAGGTTGAAAATGGATAGTCATTCATTCACATTGAAGTGCCAAGCAGTGAATTTTGTACTGAGGACTTTTGCACTGAGAACAGTGGTTCTCAGACGAGTGTGCATCAGAATCACCTGGAGAGCTTGTTAAAGGAGATTGCTGATATAAAAAATATGCTAACCAAGCCTCCTGCTTACATGGAGTTTTCTTGTGATAAAGATGTGGGAGAAGATTGTGAAGAGTCTGAATGTCAAACAATGAAGTTTAGATTTATTTTGCAGACAGTTATAGAAAGCTTGTGAGCAGGGACTAACAAAATTATAACTAGTTCTAGGAATATGCTTCCTGTGGCAGGAGACTGGATGCAGTGGAGGGAAATAATGATGTTGAAAGAGGATAAAGTTTCAAGCCAAAGAAATGGCAGGAGTAATGGAGCAGGGGATACAATAAACAAATCAGAAAGTAGTTGAAGGGATTTCATTTAGTATTTCATCAAATACTGGCTGCATTCCCTCTGTGCCAGGCATTGAAATACTGCAGTGAGCAAGACAGACAAGAGATTTATCTTCCTAGTAAAAGAAGAGAGACAATAGACTGGGCATGGTGGCTCAAGCCTGTAATCCCAGCACTTTGGGAGGCCAAGGAGGGCGGATAATCTGAGGTCGGGATTTCAAGACCAGCCTGTCCAACATGGCAAAACCCTGTCTCTATTAAAAATACAAAAATTAGCTGAGCATAGTGGCACAGGCCTGTAGTTCCAGCTACTTGGAAGGCTGAGGCAGAAGAATCGGATAATTGCTTGAACCCAGGGAGGTGAAGGTTGCAGTGAGCTGAGATCACACCACTGCACTCCAGCCTGGGACACAGAGGGAAATTACATCTCAAAGAAAATGAAAAAGAAGGAGAAGAATATATAGGTCGGTTTCACTCAGTAAATAGTAACAAAATAAACTTATTCCTGTTCAATGTATTATTTAGTATTATGTCTGTGATTCCTCTCCATCTTTAAATTTGGGATCTCTAGATCTCAGACCCTGAAATCCCAGACTTCTGGTTGTTGACAGGAATCCAGGGAGCCCTAGGAGTTCCTTGAGTTTCCGAGCATGAGCCTTAGAAAATGCCTATGTTCATATGTCTATTTTCAACAGATTCTCAAAGGAGTTTTTGATCCATCTATTACTAAGAACTACTCTTGTTTTTTTTGTTGTTGTTTTGTTTTGTTTTTTGTTTTGTTTTGTTTTGTTTGATACAGAGTTTCGCTCTCATTGCCCAGGCTGGAGTGCAATGGCAAGATCTTGACTCACCACAACCTCCACCTCCTGGGTTCAAGCGATTTTCCTGCCTCACCCTCCTGAGTAGCTGGGATTACAGGCATGCACCACCATACCCAACTAGTTTTTTTATTTTTAGTAGAGACAGGGTTTCTCCATGTTGGTCAGGCTGGTATCGAACTCCCGACAACCTCAGGCGATGCCCCTGCCTCACCCTCCCAAAGTGCTGGGATTACAGGTGAGAGCCATCGTGCGTGGCAGAACCACTCTTTAAGGAAGTCAGCCCACTAAATATATAGGTTACCACTGCTGAAGACATATAGACTATCTAGTCTACCCATTGATCTCTTTTCTTTTTTTTTTTTTTTTTTGGATAGAGTCTCTCTGACCTGGACCTGGAAGTTGCTGGAACTACAAGCCTGTGTCAGCATGCCCGGCTAATTTTTGTATTTTTATTAGAGATGAGGTTTCTCCGTGCTGGCCAGGAGGGTCTCAAACTCCTGACCTCAAGTGATCCACAAACTTCGGCCTCCCTAATTGCTGGGATTACAGGCATGAGCCATGTGCCCTGCCTGATCTCTAACGTGTAATTAGCCCCAGTGTTCTGTCTATAATGGAACACAACAGAGGTGATACCAAGTCGACAGGCTCATTTGGCATCAGCTTTTCTGCAAAGAGCTTTTAGGTCAATGGAAGGACATTCCACAATGAAACAAAACTGAATTTTGTGTGATAAAATTATGCTGCTTACAAAGAGACTTAACAATAAATAAGCTTAAAGACAGGTATTTTTGTTTCATGGAACAAATCCATTGTGATTAGTCCAGCTTTGTGAAGCAGCTCCGCTACTTGTGATCAATCAGGAAATTTCGTTCCTTCCAAGTAAACGTTCTATCATCTCCTAGGGCCTAATGGTCTCTGCTTGCTCAAAACAAAATCAATACCATTATAGCTGGAGAAGAAGGTAACATGAAAGTTTCAAAGCCCAGACCTGGTAGTAACTTTTCTGTGTCTCACCTGTGTTAGAAATAATGTAGCCACATGCTTACATCTGCTCCCAGAAAGACCCGGAAATGTTGCCTCTTGCTAGACAGCCACCTGTCCAGCTTTCTTTTTATTATGATAAAGTGAAAAAAACTTTATTGGAAAAATGAGGGTTTATGCAATATTCTCCACAAACTAAAATCCATTTTGAGGACAGTGAATAATAGTGTCATACTGATAGTCCTGAGATTGTAATTTTACAGTGATTAAGAACAAGGACTGGAGTAACCCACTAGAGAATGGCATACTTATTTTTGTCTCATTTCCTGAGGTGTAGAGGGAAAGAAGGTGGGAATTTAATCATGATAACCTCGGTTTTAAATGCCCATTCATGCAACCACAGTGGCCTGATCTATGATTTAAGGTAAAATGACTTGTGTTAATAATAAAGTCTAAAACTATTTAAGATAAAAGGCCAACAACAACAACAAAAACTCGATCAACATACCTTTAAATTGGCCGCGGGTACATTAATAAAAAGTCCTTTTAAATTCAACAATAGAAAATCAGTAGCTCCGGATGGAAGGCAGCTCAGAGGAACACAGCCAAACAAGTTGGCCTCTCCCCATTCCACTGAAAAATGTTGAGAATCCTATATACTTTCATGGTTGTTTCTCCCACGGTAATTACTACTTTCTTCTTTAAAGATTGTATTTGCCAGTTAAGTGCCTCCCACACACCTCCTACCCCCCTATACCCATAACCATGTGAACGCCATTTTGTCTTCCTTTCATATAACAATGCCTTGGTAGGACCTAGTACCTACCTCCATTTTTTTCCCTATTCTTCACAGCAGAATCAGCCTTTACCACTTGCCTTCTGTGATACAGGTTTTGTTACCTTGTTTCTCCAACAGCTACAGTCTTTGCTACTTTCTTTCTCTGATAGCCATGCAGAATGCTAGCGGCAGTTTGCCATCAGTCTCCTTACAGTAATACAGAAAACACAGGCCATGCGTGGTGGCTCACGCTTGTAATCCCAGCACTTTCGGAGGCCGAGGAGGGGCAATCTCTTTGAGCTTGAATTCAAGACGAGCCTGGGCAACATGGCGAAAATCCATCGCTACAAAAAATACAAAAATTAGCGGGTGTTGGTGGCGCAAGCCTGTTGTCTCAGCTACGCGGAAGGTTGAGGCACAAGAATCCTTTGAACCCGGGAGGCGGAGACTGCAGTTTGCCGAGATCACGCCATTGCACTCCAGCGTGGGAGACAGAGCCAGACTGTCTGAAAATAAATCAAAAAATAAAAGATACACTATCCTCACTAGCCAGTAAGATATGAAGCCAAGACGTAATAAAACAATTGAACTTGACAACCGAAGCTACTAAACACGTGAAACTACATTAATTTTAAGCAGTGACTACTACTCTTTCTTCTGAGTGGATAGGTGGCCCTGAAAAGGGCCGTTGGTTTTGCAATAGCGAACTGTGGAGCTAAGCTCAGCCGCCGAAGCCATACAGAGTGCGTCCCTGGCGCTTGAGCGCGTACACCACGTCCATGGCTGTGACCGTCTTGCGTTTGGCGTGCTCCGTGTAGGTGACAGCATCGCGGATTACATTTTCCAGAAAAACCTTCAGCACTCCGCGAGTCTCCTCATAGATGAGGCCAGAAATACGCTTGACGCCGCCGCGGCGAGCCAGGCGCCGGATGGCTGGCTTGGTGATTCCTTGGATATTGTCGCGCAACACCTTGCGGTGACGCTTGGCGCCACCCTTACCTAGGCCCTTCCCACCCTTGCCGCGACCAGACATGTCGACAGCGCAGCTGTGAAGCTTGTAACACAATACCTCTGGCACAGCCACGCAGCACTTTTATAACAGTATGACGGACCTGTTTGAAAACCTCATGAGCAGTGGCGGGAACCACAGTCAGTTCCCGCCCTTCTGTGCAATTCTCCCTTGCTCAGAATGGAGGAGACCAGGAGGGGCCTGAGGCAACAAAAGAGTCTCAGTTGGGATTTCATAAATACTCCTAGATATGTATGTGTATGTAGATACACATCATACTTTCAGTCATTAACTGAGCCATCAGTTCATAAACTTTTGACAAAGAAGCCTGACAGCTGTCCCCCACTTTTCCCAGAATATGAAATAATTAGTACACACTCTTTCCCTCACAAGGTGCTGTGTTTTGTTGGGTTTTGTTTGTTTGTTTTTGCGACAGGGTCTTGCTCTGTTGCCCAGGAGGGAGTGCAGTGGCACGATCTAGGCTCACTGCAACCTCTGCCTCCCAGGTTTAAGCATTCTCCTGCCTCAGCCTCCTGAGTAGCTGGGGTTACAGGCGCCCGCCACCATGCCCAGCTAATTTTGGTATTTTTTTAGAAGAGACGGGGTTTCACCATATTGGTCAGGATGGTCTGGAACTTCTGAACTTGTGATACGCCTGCCTCGGCCTCCCAAAGTGCTAGGATTACAGGTGTGAGCCACGCGCCGGGCCACAAGGTGCTTTCAAAGTATTTTAAGCAAATCATATGTTTATTGTCTCTGATATTATTTTTTATCGATTTATGCATTCCTAGTTAACCAAGCAGGGCTCTTCAGCCTGCAGGCTAGATAGTGCTACTGAGGAAACTAAAAGCATATGAAAGTTACACATTTAGAGGTCAAATTAGGATAAGATCACTTAGGGCCCGTTGAAGACATGAATATGTACATCCCCAAAACAATTAGAACCTTGTTGGGCTGAAATTTATGAAAATTTATGATTTGATTGTATGCTTTGGTTGTGCCTTTAATCACAGGACAGATTGTAGCCAGCACTGTATCATTCACCACATTCTATTACCCCAACAAATTGGCATCATAGTATCCAGTCAAACTATCATAGAGACAGCCTGCTCCACATACATGCTGTGGGGGTGACCCTGGGCAAGCTATACAAAGTTTCCTTGTTTTAAATGTACTTTAAAATTCTAACTTGTAATTATTTGTTAAGTTGGAACGAGATAATCCTATCAAAATGCTTAAAATAATGTCTAGATTCCAAATAAGCAATCATTAAATATTAATTATGGTATATTACAATATTGTGGGTGTTCTCAATTCCTATCCTTAAGGTTCACCCTTCGAAAGGGATGAGACAGAGTTTTCTAATTTGCTAAAATCTGATTTTGAGAACTCCTCAAAATAATAAATAATGAAAAACTTAACTCATTGTTAATCCCCATAAAACGTTCCAGGTCCTTTGGGTAGAATATTTGGTTTTTCCTCCATGACTTGTGAGGAGAACCAGGTTTATCACAGTTGTTTGCTGTTTGATGAATTTATGATACATGGAAAAAGACTGCAGAGTAAAGTTCTTAGCCTGGGATACACAGAAAGGCTTCAGGGGATCTGGGAATAAGTACAGGAAAAAAAAAAATCAAATTTTTTTTTTTTTCTTATTACTATTCTCCAACAGAAAGTTAGCATTTTCTCTATGTATGAACTCAGGCAACAAACAGTATAATTGGCAGTACAAGTGCTTTTATTTGTATCATATTGCCATTGCCAATATCTCAAAATTGCATTTAAAAATCTCAATCCTAAAGCCGGGCGCAGTGGCTCACGCCTGTAATCCCAGCACTTTGGGAGGCTGAGGCAGGAGGATCACAAGGTCAGGAGATCGAGACCATCCTGGCTAACACAGTGAAACCTCGTCTCTACTAAAAATACAAAAAAATTAGCTGGTCATGGTGGCGGGCACCTATAGTCCCAGCTACTTGGGAGGCTAAGGCAGGAGAATGGCATGAACCCAGGAGGCGCGGAGCTTGCAGTGAGCCAAGATGGTGCCACTGTACTCCAGCCTAGGCAACAGAGCAAGATTCCGTCTCAAAAAAAAAAAAAAAAAAACACTAAATCCTTCCAATCTATAATAAGTCTTAGTCACATGGACAGATTATTATTTAATGTATTAATTTAAAAAGCACCTATGCCAGGGCATGGCTTATGCCTGTAAATCCCAGCTCTTTGAAAGGCCCAGATGGGAGGATCACTTGAGCCCAGCAGTTCAAGACCAGTCTAGCCAACATGGCAATACCCTGTGTCTACTAAAAATGCAAACATTTATCAGGCATATTGGCACACAGTTACTTGGGTGGCTAATCCCTTGAACCTGAGAAGCAGAGACTGCACTGAGCCAAGATTGTACCATTGCACTCCATCCCAGGCAACAGAGTGAGACTCTGTCTCAAAATCAGTGAGTAAATAAAATAAAAAATTTAAAAGCACATATGTTAATATTTCACCAATTTGGATTTTTTATAATTTGATAATGGCATATTAATATAATTGTTTTATTTTGTATTCCTATATATTATCTAATGCATTTAAAACCATTATTCTAGGCGGGGCACAGTGGCTCATGCCTGTAATCCCAGCACTTTGGGAAGCCAAGGTGGGTGGATCACCTAAGGACAAGCATTCCAGACCAGCCTGGCCAACATGGTGAAACCCCACCTCTACTAAAAATACAAAATTTAGCTGGGCATGGTGGCACATACCTGTAATCCCAGCTCCTTGGGAGGCTGAGGCAAGAGAATTGCTTGAACCTGGGAGACAGAAGTTATAGTGATACAAGATCACGCCATTGCACTCCAGTCTGGGTGACAAGAGCGAAACTCTGTCTCAAAAATAAATAAATAAATAAATATTAATCTGGCCGGACGTGGTGGCTCATGCCTGTAATCCCAGCACTTTGGGGGGCCAAGGCTGGTGGATCACTTGAGCCCAGTTCAAGAGCAGGCTGGACAACATGGAGAAACCCTGACTCTACTAAAAATACAAACATTAGCTGGGCATGGTGGCATGCTCTTGTAATCCCAGCTACATGGGAGGCTGAGGCACAAGAATCACTTGAACCCAGGAAGCAGAGTTTGCAGTAAGCCAATATTATAGCACTGCACTCCAGCCTGGGCAAGAGTTAGATTCCATCTCAATAAATAAATAAATAAATAAATAAATAAAATAAAATGCTTCTTAGAAGGAGAGGCATAGTGTGGGCCACTCAGAGCTAAATGGTGAAAACTTGAACAAGTTACCTATTTCATAATTGATCTGCATCTTCAATGGTGTATAATGCCTCACCCAGTTATTCAATTTAAAATGAAACACAAGAATCAAGCACTACTATGTCAACAATACTGCACAGGGCATACTGCTGCAGAAAACAAGCATTTGGGGAGTAGCCACAAAGGCATAATAAAGAAATGGAAAGTTAAGGACAGTTGAATTATGTTCTGGTTTGACACAACTCCCTAGATGTATTTCTGCAAGTTTTTTTACATAAATATTTGTATGCCATACTATAATACCAATCTGTACTTTTAGTTATTTGTAAACTACTAGGAAGATTTAAAAGTGGACAAGTATGCAGTTAATATGAAACAGATTATAATGACCTTCTAAGAAATCAATGGGGGGGTGGCCTGGTGCCGTGGCTCACGCATGCAGTCGCAGCACTTTGGGAGGCGGAGGCTGGCAGATCACAGGGTCAGGAGTTCAAGATCAGCCTGGCCAATATAGTGAAACCCCATCTCTAGTCTCTACTAAAAATACAAAACTTAGCTGGCATGCACCTGTAGTCCCAGGTCCCAGCTACTCTGGAAGCTGAGGCAGAAGAATTGCTTGAACCTGGGAGATGGAGGTTGCAGTGAGCCGAGATCACGCCACTGTACTCCAGCCTTGGCAACAGAGTGAGATTCTGTCTCAAAAAAAAAGAAAAGAAAGAAAGAAATCAATGTAAGAATTCAAAACAGAGAGAGATCTCATCAATTTTGAGAGACGGGGAATGAAAAATATAAACATTTCAAAATACATCATTAGATTAGTTTGAAGTTTAAAACGGTGCAGAAGAGAGAAAAAAGAAGAAAAAAACTGAAAAAAAGATACTCTGAAAGGTAATATAATTAGACCAAGATCACATAGCTCCTAAGGGGCAAAACAAGACTCAAATACATGTCATCATGTTTGCAAATTCCATACTTCTACTAAACCAGAGTTCCAGAGTGTTGATTTAAGGCCATATAAAAGAGTTTGATTGCCATACTAAAGTTATTCTTAAATCTAAAGCTATATGAATCCAGCTTTTTCTCTCTCTTTTTTTTTCTTTGAGACGGAGTTTCACTCTTGTTGCCCAGACTGGAGTGCAATGGCGTGTTCTCCGCTCACTGCAACCTCCATCTCCTGGGTACAAGCGATTCTCCTGCCTCAGCCTCCTGAGTAGCTGGGATTACAGGCACGCGCCACCATGCCTAGCTAATTTTTGTATTTTTAGTAGAGACGAGGTTTCTCTGTGTTGGTCAGGCTGGCCTCGAACTCCCAACCTCAGGTGATCCACCCACCTCAGCCTCCCAAAGTGCTGGGATTACAGACGTGAGCCACCACGCCCAGACGAATCCAGCTTTTTCTTCATGGCTTGTAAGAATAGAGAAAAACAGTTTTTAAGTGAAGAAAACATAAAGCTACAAGGAGATGGGGCACATAAATTTGAAGCTCATATAAGGAAGATTTCACCCAGAGCAATGAAGAGGATGAATGACAGCAGAAAGGGATGAGAGAAAGGAACCACCCAGCAGAAGGCTGTAACAATAGCCAGTCCAAAGAAGAGATAGAAGAGCAAGAATTACAACCATGAAAAGGCAAATAAACAAGGGAAGATTAATTTAGGGAGAATTCACCAAACTTAGTAACAGATTGGATTTGGCAACAAAGGAAAGGGAATAATTGAAGTGTCGGTTAACAAAGCAATAGTGTTGTTGTGAATAGAATATATAGGAATGTCACTTGAAAGGTTGCTTCCTAGATGTGGTTGGATATGTTGAGGGTGTGTTATAGGTAAACAATAAAGCCAATATCCAGCAATCTTAGTTAGACAGAATCTTAGTTAGTTAGCTACTTAGATGAGGATGGTCATACTGAGAGTCTGATACAGAAGATGAACAAGCGGATATCCAGCAATCATCCAGAAATGCAAATTTGATACTTAGGCAAGAGGACAGGCCTGAAGGGAGAGACTTTAGTTACCTGCAAGAAACTAACTCCCAAACCCATGAAGGCAAATAGGACAGTACCTTAGAGAAGTCCCGCAGTTGGAAGGCTACAAGTCAGTTCTTCCTTTGTTGGTGCTCCAGGAAATCAAATATAATGGGTCAAAGCCATTTTAAGATTAGAAATACATGGGCTCCATAAAAAGTGAATACACACTCAAAGTAAATGTGATTCATATTTAGCTCGTTTCTCATCTCAACCATTTGATTTTAATTTTTATTAACATTAATTTGTTCATGTCCTAGTTGCATTTGCTACATGAAGTCATTTGTATTTTGATGCGATCAAAAAGTGTGAAACCCTCACCTTTTGGGTTTTGCTCTGTCCCCAGCATTTACTTCCTTCATAGTCTTAGTAAAACATATAAATGTATATGCTCCCCAGATCAACATATGTTCAAGACATTGAGGAGTGAAGAAAATCAGTTAAATCACTTTCTGCCATCACTCCATTTTCCTCTCATATCGAACATAAGCTGTACTTCATTCACTATAAGCCTATATCATTGTTTAAACAAGAAATGTAGTACTGAATATGAAACATGGTTGTTCTTTAAATTTCTCTCTCTAGGGAATTTTGTGTGTGTGTGGTGCTTGTGTGTATAATACTTGATCCTGTTACTTGAATATTTTGCAAAAGTTTATCTTCCCCGTGTCCCCAAGCATGACAGACCCCTGAACCCAAAGACTCATGAACATTTTAGTAATTATTTCCCCCAGTAAAAATTAAAAAAAAAATTTTTTTTGACTCATAAACGAGTCAAACTCTCTGTCTTTTATGCCCTTTCCTGGATCTCTCCTGAGTTCAGCTATGCAAACAGTCCCAACATCAGGAGAATCACTGATCATTGTATTTCCCATTTTCCCAAGGAAATGTTGAACATTTATTTGAACCCTCCCAAATTAACTAAATATCCAAATAGTAACAAGAAGCTATCATAAAACATTTTCAGCCCCAACTAATTTTATCAGAAAGAGCTGTTGTTCTAAGTATCCGTACTGCTGTTCTTCTGGAGAAATTCAAAAAGAACCTGTTATTTCTCTTCTCATATAAAACAGATTTCCTGGTTAAATCTCAATGAAAATCAAGTAGTTGTTCACTGTATGATAGGCCAAAAATGTGTAGGCTATTATGAGACAGCAAGCAATTGAAGACACGAATGGAAGAGTTTATATTTTAAATGAAAATCAAGTTGTCCCTCTGAACTGTGAATCTCTGAAAGCTGGAGCGTTTGATAAAGGCCGAGGCTGCCTTAATAAAAACTAGAGAAAGAAAATGTAAAGATCATAAAGGCTTAGCCGTTCTGGTTCATTGTAGAATAGAATTGGTGTGATTCCTCCTCAGGAAATTTAAACTATTTTGCTTTTCTGAATTTCAACAAACAACTCAGAAACAGGGTTGAGACTAGGTTGCTGCCAAGCTGAAAGACTGAGCTGGGAACCAATCAGCGCGCAGCGTGTCTATGTGTGACATAACACGTAATCATAGATACACTCGCAGCCTGATTTTTTTTTTTTTTTAACTATTAGATATCCAAACCTACAATCAAGTCCGAAACTTTACATGCCGTGACTCCTGGTGTATCTCCCAAGTCAAAGACTTAAGAAAAAGGTTTGCGAGTCCGAAGGTGCAGTGAAGCGCAAGACATTCAGGCTCCTTCGGTACCTGAGTTCACTAATGACCTAGCAGCCTGTCTGCTGCCGCGCTCAAGGTGTTGGCGGCTATGTTAAGTAGAGCGGCCGCATTAAGCCGGAGCTTGCCGGTCGCGGTGTAATCTCAGCATTTTGGGAGGCCAAGGCGGGAGAATCTCTTAAGCTAAGGAGTTGTTTTTGATGGTTTTGTTTGTGTTTGGGGATTTTTTTTTTTTTTTTTTTTTGACGGAGCCTAGCTCTGCTGCCCAAGCTGGAGTACAGTGGGGCCATCTCGGTTCACTGCAACTTCCGCCTCCCGGGTTCAAGTCCTTCTCCCGCCTCAGCCTTCCATGTAGCTGAGACTGCAGGCGTGTGCCACCACACCTGGCTAATTTTTGTATTCTCAGTAGAGATGAAGTTTCAATGTGTTGGGCACGCTGGTCTCGAACTCTTGACATCACGTTATCCGCCCGCCTTGGCATCCCAAAGTGCTGTGATTACAAGACTGAGCCACCTCGCCTGGCCAAGCTGAGGAGTTTTGAGATCAGCCTGGGTAACATAGTGAGACCTCGTTGTAAAAATAAATACAAATTTTAAAAAATCATTTGAATAAGGTTAGGCCTTGAAAACAAACGAGGGCATCTTCGTGCTAAGAAGAGCAGCGCCTCGGATTCGTCCCCGCTAAACAAGGCGGTCTTAGGAAAATCAAGACCGAGGCCAGGAAAGCCGCTGCAGTCATGCCCAAGACAGCTGTCCCGGCAGCCGAAAGGCCCAAGAAAGCTTGGGGCGCCCTTATTCCGAAGAAAAGTACTAAGCAGACCCCAAAGAAGGCTTTTGCGGATGGAGGCTGCTGGAGAAAAAGGTTGGTTGGTCAAAGGTGGCCAAGAAAGTTCCCAAGCCGGAGGTACCCAAGCCCCAGAAAGCGGCCCCCCAAAAACAGAAATTAAAAACTAGAGTACCTTAAAGGCTGTTTTAATAACTGCCCAATTATTAAATTTTTTACACCAATTCCGTGAAGGGAGGGGAGAGGGATAGAGGTAAGAATGCTTACTTACCTTGACTGAACAGAGATTCCAGTTTACGGACAGCAACAGTACACAGCAACTTTTATAGAAAAGGTGATTGGCTCTGAAAAGAGCCTTTGGGTTTTGGTTAGCACACATTGACAACAAAATTTACGCCCTCTCCCCACGAATGCGGCGAGCAAGCTGGATGTCCTTGGGCATGATAGTCACTCGCTTGGCGTGAATGGCGCATAGGTTGGTGTCCTCAAACAGCCCCACTAGGTAGGCCTCGCAGGCCTCCTGCAGCGCCATCACCGCCGAGCTCTGGAAGCGCAGATCGGTCTTGAAATCCTGCGCGATCTCACGGACCAGACGCTGGAATGGCAGTTTGCGAATCAGTAACTCGGTCGACTTCTGGTAGCGGCGGATCTCCCGCAGAGCCACGGTGCCGGGCCGGTAGCGGTGGGGCTTCTTCACGCCGCCGGTGGCCGGAGCGCTCTTTCTAGCAGCCTTGGTGGCCAACTGCTTGCGTGGCGCCTTCCCACCCGTGGACTTGCGAGCTGTCTGCTTGGTACGAGCCATTGCGAACTTCTAAACCCCGCTAAATGACGAAAAACCGAAAGCCTAGGCTTTTCTACCCGTATATATAAAGGCAGCCCTGTTCTGATTGGACCAGGCAGCCTTTCCCCTGCAGCTCCATTGGTGGAGACCTCCACTCCCTGACAGAACATCTCCTGCATGTAGACCAAATATTAAAACTTTCCTCCGTCCGTCTCCTTTAACTGCTGGTGTTTTCAACCCTTTCCCCTCTGTGCCATTTTTCTGGCTTTTTTAAAAAACGTACTTTGATTTTCCTCTGCAAAATTTTATCTAGCTACTAGGATAACGTGTCTTACTTAATTTTTAAAAAAACGTTGGCGCCTGAAACTGGCTTTGATCAACGTTTTGAAAAAACGCGCGCTAGTTGTGATTGGTCAAGTGATTTCTTTTTACCCTCAAGTTTAGAAAGGCTAATTTTATATCTTGATTTCTCTATTTAAATTTGGAGATATTTTCAATAATTTGTTCCAAGTACACCATGACTATTAACAATTTGAAACCTGATGCCAAGCAACATGAACACATATTTAACTACAATATGACATCCTCACATGAAAGCACTCTCATCTTTTACAAGTTCAACTGGTATTTTTGTAATCTGCTGTAAAGAAAAGAAATAGCCAAATTTATAAATGGCACAAAAAGACCAGTGTGCCCTTGTAGTCATGCTGAACACTGTGCAAAGAAAAGAAGCTTCACCTAAGGGCCATCTGGCTCCAGGGGATGTAGGTTTATATTCCTATTTATAATTAATGAGAGTTAGCTCAGTAGAGTGGAAAGTGGCTTGCAAAAAGCAAAAACAGACCTCAAGAATCCTTACAAATTGCAGGTAATTTCGTATCATTAAGATGCATACAAAAGATGATAAAAGGTTGTTTCTGGTTCTGTTGCTTTAAGTCACTACATTCGTATGTAAATGTAAACACTGACGAACATTAACCTCTCTCCTGTATTTCTCACGCCTTTTAACAGCTTTGCAATCGTAAGGGGCTGCTGCATTGATCGATTTAAATTAACTGTGACATATACTCTCTCTGCATTTTAATTAGTTTGCCTTTTTTTTTTTTTTTTTTTTTTTTGACAGAGTATCTCTCTGTCGCCCAAACTGGAGTGCAGTGACCCGATCTCGGCTCACTGCAACCTCAGCTTCAGGAGTTCAAGCTTTTCTCCTGCTTCAACCTCCTTAGTAGCTAACATTACAGGCGCGCGCCACCACGCCCGGCTAATTTTTGTATTTTTAGTAGAGACGGGGTTTCACCATGTTGGTCAGGCTGGTCTGGAACTCCTGACTTTGTGATCCGCCAGCCTCGGCCTTACAAAGTCCTGGGATTACACGCGTGAGCCACCGCGCCCCGCCGATTTGCTTAACTATTTTTATGGCGACTTTAAAATGGAAGGTTAGTTTCACGTTGCACAGTCTAAGGACACCAACTTATAGGTAGAAGAATTACTAAAGAAAACTGCAAAATAGCTGACATGGAAAAAAATATGAGCCCTTTTAATGAATACATGGGTGGCTCTGAAAAGAGCCTTTGGTTAAGATTGCCTCCGTAAAAAGTCAATATACAAATTCTCGTTTTACTTGCCCTTGGCCTTGTGGTGGCTCTCAGTCTTCTTGGGGAGCAATACAGCTTGGATGTTGGGCAGGACACCGCCCTGAGCAATTGTGACTTTACCCAGCAGCTTGTTTAGCTCCTCGTCGTTGCGGATGGCCAGCTGCAGGTGTCGGGGGATAATGCGGGTCTTCTTGTTGTCGCGGGCCGCATTGCCCGCCAGCTCCAAGATCTCGGCAGTCAGGTACTCCAGCACCGCCGCCAGATACACCGGCGCGCCGGCCCCAACTCGCTCGGAGTAGTTGCCCTTGCGGAGCAAGCGGTGCACTCGGCCCACAGGGAACTGGAGCCCCGCCCGAGAAGATCGGGTCTTAGCTTTGGCTCGAGCCTTTCCGCCTTGCTTGCCGCGTCCGGACATTTTGATATCTTAAAATAGATGTTGAGCAACGCAGTGAAAAATGTAAAACTGAATGTTGTTAGCAAGTGAGAAACTATTATACTTGGAGGCCGAATTGTAAATAACGCTATTTGATTGGCTAGAACAACCTACCAATTACAAAGAATCGCGAGAATCGCCTAATTTGCATACGACAGGGCACACAGAGACAATTTATCCAATCAATATGTAAGTTTTCAAACGCCAGTTTAGGACACCAGCTCTAGAGATATTACAAGCTGCAGAGTGAGGATACTTGTCATTTTTCTTTAGGTTGTGGACGACGTGTTTCTTTAACATGCCTGAACCTGCTAAGTCTGCTCCTGCCCCAAAGAAGGGCTCCAAAAAGGCGGTGACCAAGGCGCAGAAGAAGGATGGCAAGAAGCGCAAGCGTAGTCGCAAGGAGAGTTATTCTGTTTACGTGTACAAGGTGCTAAAGCAGGTCCACCCTGACACTGGCATCTCATCGAAAGCCATGGGTATCATGAACTCCTTCGTCAACGATATCTTCGAGCGCATTGCGGGGGAGGCTTCCCGCCTGGCGCATTACAACAAGCGCTCCACCATCACCTCCAGGGAGATCCAGACCGCCGTGCGCCTGCTGCTGCCCGGGGAACTGGCCAAGCATGCCGTGTCCGAGGGCACCAAGGCTGTCACCAAGTACACCAGCTCTAAGTAATTCTAACGTCTTCATACCCAATCCCAAAGGCTCTTTTAAGAGCCACCCACTTTTTCAGCTATAGAGTTGTAATTACCTGCATATTTTCTGTGTTTACCAACAGATTTGGTTTTATCTTGATTTGAGGGGTTTGCTGCTGTGTAGGTCTAGAGCACAGTTCTTTTGACTGCTTTAAGGCAAAATGCTGTACTTAATCTTAAGTTAGTGGTAGCATATTTGTTTTACCCAAAGTGCTGGTTACAAGGCTAGCCCATTGTGCTGATGTGCACATTTTTCTTATGTTGTGCTGTGATGTGTCCCTTGTCAAACTGGTTTCATAAGCAAAGAACTTTTGAAATTAAGTAATATTTCTTTTGCTACTGACAGTGTGGGGAAAAAGAATGTCTTCCTTAATTCCGGTTTAGTCATAACAGCATTGGCAAGTTTGCCTGGTTAAAATAATATAATCAAATTCTTCAAAATATAAGGAAAGCAAGACAAGCCATGTGCATGAAAACTGAAAAATGTGAACACCGGTGCCTGGATGCAGCACTAATAATCAAAATTGTTCTTTGTTTAAAGAAAAGTTTGGCTACTGGCAAAATAACATTTGGGAGTAATAACTGGAAGTCCAGGAGAGAAACACCCTTAACCCTAAAATATTTTGTTGTCACTTCCTCAAAGTTGTTTTTTACTTTTTTTCCTTCAAGGTTGACTTCATATATGTTCATTTTATTCTAATAGGCAAAAATTGTGATTTTTAAATGAAAAAATAATTTATGTCATTCTACTTACAAATACCACAATTTTTCTATTCTATATACTCACATATAAAGATACTGAAGTTGTAGTGTATTGCTTGTAATTACAAACCTTACTTAAGATCATAAATTGTTATGAATGGCATCCATTGTAGAATACTTAGAATTTTTACAAAATATTTTTGTATTTTAAAAATATTTAAAATATTTTATACAAAATATTCTTAGAATTTCAACCCAGTTAAGAAAAAAGGAATAGTATTCTATATTACTTTCTTTTCTTTTTTTTTTTTTTGTTACGAAGTTTCACTACTATCGCTCAGACTAGAGTTCAATGGCACGATCTTGGCTCACTGCACCCTCTGCCTCCTGGGTTCAAGTGATTCTCCTGTTTCAGCCTCCCAAGTAGCTAGGACAAGAGGCAGCTGCCACCACACCCGGCTAATTTTTATATTTTTAGTACACACGGCCTTTCTCTGTATTAGCCAAGCTGATTTCGAACTCCTGACCTCAGGTGATCCACCCTCCTCAGACACCCAAAATGCTGGGATTATAGGTGTGAGCCACTGCACCCGTCCCACAATTTTTTTTCAACTTCCCACTCCCTGTCTGGCACATAAATGGACACAGAACACAGCACTTACAAAGCATATATAAACATTCAAATAAACAAACCCCAACTGAAAATATGAAAACAACAAGAAAAACCTAGAAAAATGAAAGCTAAAAATACTAAATAGCTTCATGTGCAAATTTACATTGGTATAGCAGTCGATTTTTGCTTTCTGTAGTTCCATAAGTAAATATCTAAACTAAGGTGTACATCAGCTTGAGGGGAATACAACTTTCTGAAATTATATGCAAAAATGTGGCCATATGTGTTTCTCCTTCCCAGAACAAATTATATAGCTTTCTATCAGATTCTAAAAATACTGTGATCCACTGTGCTAAGCAGAATAAGGCTACCCCAGTGATGACCACATCCTAATCCCTGGAGTCTGCAAATTCCTGCAGTCTTTGTTACATTACGTGACAAAGGGCAACTAAGGTTTATATGGAATTAAGGCTACTAAATTGGCTGACCTTAAGGAGATTATCCTGCATGTTACGAGTTAACCCAATACAATTACAAAGATTCTTTAAAGTGGAAGAGGGAATTGGAATAGAGAACTAGAGATATAGCAGCATGAGAACGATTTGGCCATAAATTTCCAGCTTTGAAAGTGAAAGAAAAGGACCATGATCCAAGGAGAGAGTGGCATCTACAGGGTAAAAAGGCAAGGGAAAAGATACAGGCTCTTTATTTCTTTAGTTAATATCAAGTCAACACCTTGACTCTTTTGCTCAGTAAGATCTGACTGAGCCCCAATTTTAAAAACTATATAATTACAAATTTGTATTTTTTAATCATAAAATGTGATAATTTTTCAAACCAGCAATAGGAAACCAGTGCAACTATACAAGTTTAAGAATTGAGTAATGTACCAGCCCTGGCCCGAGACCCCACAGTCGCCGAGATGTTGATGCCTAAGAAGAACCAGATTGCCATTTATGAACTCCTTTTTAAGCAGGGAGTCATGGTGACCAAGAAGGATGTCCATATGCTTAAGCACCTAGAAATGGCAGACAAGAATGTGCCCAACCTTTGTGTCATGAAGGTCATGCAGTCTCTCGAGTCCCAAGGCTACTTGAAGGAACAGTTTGCCTGCAGACATTTCTTTTTTTTTTTTTTTTTTTGAGACTGAGTCTGGCTCTGTCGCCCAGGCTGGAGTGCGGTGGCCGGATCTCAGCTCACTGCAAGCTCCGCCTCCCGGGTTCACGCCATTCTCCTGCCTCAGCCTCCCGAGTAGCTGGGACCACAGGCGCCCGCCACTTCGCCGGGCTAGTTTTTTGTATTTTTTAGTAGAGACGGGGTTTCACCGTGTTAGCCAGGATGGTCTCGATCTCCTGACCTCGTGATCCGCCCGTCTCGGCCTCCCAAAGTGCTGGGATTACAGGCTTGAGCCACCGCGCCCGGCCCCCTGGAGACATTTCTACTGGTACCTTACCAATGAGAGCATCCAGTACCTCCATAATTACCTTCATCTGCCCCCAGAGATTGTGCCTGCCACTGAAGGCCGCAGTCATCCAGAGTCCAGAGCCTGGCAGCCCTCGGCCTAAAGGTCTGGATGGAGGGTGAGCAACCTGCAAGCCTCACAATAGGAGAACCCGACAGTGATACCTACAGATGGAGTGCTGTGTCCCCTGGTGCTGACAAGAAAGCCAAGGCTGGGGCTGGATCAGCAACCGAATTCCAGTTTAGAGGCAGATTTGGTCATGGACGTGGTCAGCCACCTCAGCAAAACTGGAGAGGATTATTTTGCATTGAATAAACTTACAGCCAAAAAACTCAAAAAAAAAAAAAAACTCAATTCAGTAACATATTAACTAATGTTCTATTAAATTACAATTTTATACATTTAAATACAAATATGTAAATACTATTACAATTATTATAGAAGTATGTAAATTCTTCCTAAATATCACAGCCTCACAGAATTTTGATATTGGTGGGATTTTAACAGCAGCAATTTACAGTTCCTTTTTGTTTAGTCTCTACATATTTGATTTCTTTTCACAGTAGAAATCCTAACATTTGTATGGAAAGGAGGAAAATTTGATTATTTTTAGGTTTTATGGCCAGCTTTGGGGCTAGCTTTGGTTTATATGTTCCATCTTGGGGAGGAAGGAGTCTAGTTCCTATAGCTAGCTTCCCGGGAGAATGGGAGGGAGAGAGAGGAATGTAGGAGGAGAAAAACTTACTGCTGAGGCCGTCATTTTGTAGTTTTCTGACTCCCAACACCACCTTTTACTTTAAAAGTCTGTAGGAAGTCGCCTATTTAATACCTTGGCCCACTACACGTTGCCAATTCTCTTGTGATAAAAGCTGCTACCAGAATCAAAAAGAAAAGAAAACTAACAATAGAGAACTAAACATTAACACACCAGTGGGTTTTTAGGTTTAGATGTGCAAGTTAGCTAGTTGTTTAAATGAGAATTATAAATTTTAATAAACAGGGAAGAAAGAAAAGCCAAAATTGTAACACGGGCCTCCACAATGAGGACTAGAATTAATGGGATCACTAATTTTCTTTCTTTTTTTTTTTTTATTTTCTTTGAGACGGAGGTTCACTCTTGTTGCCCAGGCTGGAGTGCAATGCTGTGATCTCGGCTCACCACAACCTCTGCCTCCTGGGTTCAAACAATTCTCCTACCTCAGCCTCCTAAGTAGTTGGGATTACAGGCATGCGCCACCACGCCCGGCTAATTTTGTGTTCTTAGTGGAGACGGGGTTTCTCCATGTTAAAGACTGGTATTGAACTCCCAACCTCAGGTGATCCGCCCTTCTCAGCCTCCCAAAGTGCTCGGATTACAGTCGTGAGCCACAGCGCCCGACGGATCACTAATTATCCATATTTTTCTCTTCGGGAAGAAAACCCTTTTGGTCAGATTTCCCTTAGCTTGGTGCTGGAGAGGGTGAGATCTTGCAGTTTTCAAACACTTCTTATGGGGGTTCGGTCCCCAAGAGAGCAAGCAGCAGAAATGTCAGAGGCACCATGCCTGTGGGAACAAAGCTGAACTCCTCATGGAAGGAGATTGCTACAGTTCGTCTTGTGAGCCGAAGCTCCTGTTCAATCGTTCTAGAGCATCCAAGCAATAAATGATATTAATCTAAAAATGTTAATATATTTAATCTCATTTAGTTGTTAAAATACGCCTAAATTTCCTCTTTGGGGACGTAAGACTTGCAGAGACGCCTCCATGGAGAGCGCACTCTTCCGGCGGGAACTGGTGTCCTTGGTGACGTCATCCGGGTCTGAGCTGTGAGGGGTGGGGCCAGTAGGCAGTACCAAAGTTCCCGTATGTGCGTTTTCAGTCTTCAATTAGGTCCGAATTCCCAGCATATAAGGGTACTACCGTCGCTCGTCTTCCAGATTTCTCCAGTTTGCCTTTCAGGCTAGTTCGCCATGTCTGGCCGTGGCAAAGGCGGAAAAGGCTTGGGTAAAGGGGGCGCCAAGCGTCACCGCAAAGTCTTGCGAGATAACATCCAGGGTATTACCAAACCTGCCATCCGGCGTCTTGCTCGGCGCGGTGGTGTCAAGCGCATTTCTGGACTCATCTATGAGGAGACCCGCGGGGTGCTGAAGGTGTTTCTAGAGAACGTGATCCGTGACGCTGTTACTTACACGGAGCACGCCAAGCGCAAGACCGTAACAGCGATGGATGTGGTCTACGCTCTCAAACGACAGGGACGCACTCTTTACGGCTTCGGCGGCTAAGGCTCTTGCTTGAACGACTCAACATCTCAACTATCCCAAATTAAAGGCCCTTTTCAGGGCCGCCCACACTTTTCCTTAAAGGAGCTAATGACTTTTGCTAACCACTTAGTCACTTCATAAGTCACTGTTCCTATCCACAGGTACGTATGTGTTTCGCGGTTTTTTTTTTTTTGGTTCCAAATTATTTGGTTTCAGCATACGATTTTTAAGGCTACGATCCTTTTGCATTTAGAATTGTTATATTAGGCATAGGCTTCTCAGGAGGTATAGTAGGGGCTTAGGTTGCACCGAAAAGATTAGAGTGGTGGTGTCTCATTTGTTTCTCTTACCGCTTTTTTTTTTTTTTTTTTAAATACTTAAAACTGCATGGTTTTTCACGTAAGTAGGAAAACTCAGAGTGCGTAACCGCTCAAAATGGCGGACAGCGAGGAACAAAGCCGGTGCCTGGCAACGGGCGGATACGCGAATTAGCATAACGAATCTTCTGGGCGGTAATGTGGGCCTTAAATCCTGGCGGCTTGTTTTCTGTTAACGACCGAGTTTCTGGTGTGTAGAGGCCCCTGGGGTAGATCAGCTCACGCGAGGAGTGGTTGCAAGTATGCATTTCGGAATATTAATGAAGCCAGCCCAGTTGTCCCTTAGAAGTTCTAATATCTGCTGTTTTTTGAATAAAGAAATTTGACCCTTTAATCCTACCCTAAAGCTTGAAATTTAACATTTAACTCACATGAGACAAATCTTAAAGTTTAGGAACTCATGTTCCTGCCTCAAGCGAGGAACTGAAACTCACCGGATCACTGCATCCACACCGTGAGACTCCATGTTTCTCAACCATCATGATTGCTTCCTTAGCACTCCCTGATTTCCTGTTTTCTCGCTCTTCTCGCTACATAAACCCCCCCAATTTTGGTCCGGGAGACGGATTTGTGATTTCATCTCCCTCTCTCCTAAGCAGCAGCACGGGATTAAAGCCTTCCCTCCTAGGTCATTGAAATTCTCTGGCGAGCAGCAGGACCTGGACTGAACCCCTGGAATCTCGGTAACAAAAACATTTTTTAAAAAGTAGGTAGAATGTTTATGACAGTTTTTATAGTATACATACTATGCTATAATAGGACATTATACCCCAAATTGTTGAGTATATAGTAAACCCCACATAATCGAGTTGCATGGCTAGCAGAAAAAATGATTAATCGTCTTAGTGTTAATTGCCGTATGATTTCTTTCCTGTAAGCAGAAACTAACTGCTGGAAAGCATTGCAGAAACTAGTTAGAAAATGTTCCAACGTATTCTGATTGACCAGCCAGAAATCCCTTTCCCCTGTTTTGCAGTCCTGCCACAACTCCAATTAGAGGACCAGTCTTACATATATTCGTTATTGATAAGTGGACATAGACCTTAAGCCAGTTTCAGCCAGCTTATAGAGATTGAACAAATTGTCTTTGTGCCCTACAGTTCATCTTTTAGCATAAAGCTAAATCCCACCTCATTGTAATGCTAAAATCCTCCCCATGGTTCACATGAAATGTATGTTACATGTTTTGCCAAAGTGTAAGTGCCTGACTTCCCTCATGAATAATATTCAAAGAATTTTTCCAAACCTACTTAATCTGTGATGTAGGATTGACTGTAAGGCATGTATATATTCCAGCTCCCCTTCACTGACACAGAGTGCTCACTACATCCTGGGATTCTTCTCCCTCTGAAAATAAAGCCTTCGTTACTTCCTACTTGGATCTCATTGTCTATTGTTCAAAAAAGACATGTACTTATTCCACATTGAAAACATCCCAGTTATGCCCCAGATGTATTGGAGATCTGGTTTGTTTAAAGAAGGATGCCGCCATAACTTCGGTTGTGTCTCCAGTTTTATCTAAAACAGGCTCCTCTCCCCTACTTCCCCATTTTTGGACGTTGATTTTTTGAAGACCAGACTTACAGAATGGTTTTTTTTTTTTTTTGGATTGGCTTGATTCTTAATCATTTTAGCTTCTGTATTCTCCATGTCCTGTAAAGTACAAGTGACTTCCATACACTTAATTGAAAGGTGAATATACCTGTCAGGAACAGTTTACACATTTAATGTACATAGTAGTACACTACATCAGAAGCACTTGATGTCTGGTTTTATGCAAATTCAAAGTGATAGAAAAATCGCAGGTTTGGGCTGGGCACAGTGGCTCATGCCTCTAATCCCAGCACGTTGTAAGGGCAAGGTGGGCGGATCACCTGAGGTCAGGAGTTCAAAACCAGCCTGACCGTCATGGTGAAAACCCAACTCTACTAAAAATAAAAAAATTAACCGGGCATGGTGGCAGGCACCTGTAATCCCAGTTAATCAGAAGGCTGAGTTAGGAGAATGGCTGGAGCCTGGGAGGCGGAGGTTGTAGTGAGCCACTGCACTCTGGTCTAGGCAACAGAGAAAGACTGCCAAAAAAAAAAAAAATTGGTGGTTTAGGGTGATAGTTCCACTGAAAATGAGATTTTTCTTCTAGCCAACAAGTAATCCATAGGCTGATACTTTGAAATCAGGAAAATAGTTATTTTGAATGTCATTTTTTAAAAGTGTGACCTTGTGCATATATATGAAAAGCATCATGTTATTGGTACTAAGGCACTGGTTTGAGGAGAAAAAGTTTTATGAGGATGTTAGTGTAACAACAGCGACAAAAAGCACATAGCATGTGCCAAGCATTGTTCTACGCTCTGGGAGTTAAAGCAGTGAATGAGAAAGAACAAAACAATATGTCTGTGTACATAGAATTTATATTTATTGGGTGGTGGTACACACACAAAACAAAACATACTGTGTCAGATGGTGCTGACTGCTATGAAGATCACTGAAGCAGGAAAAGGCATAGCATGTGGTGGGAAGAGGTGATATTTTAAATGATACTGTCTTGGGAAATTTTACTCATAAAATGATAAAGAAAAAAAACATTGAGAAAGTGAGGACGCTCCTGGCTGAATAAAAAACCTCTTCCTTCTTTAATCCGGTGTCTGAGGAGTTTTGTCTGCGGCTCGTCCTGCTACAGGAGAATATTCCAAATGGAATACCAAGCAAGAAAGCCTGGAGGTAAAAAGCAAGTATTATGGCTGGAAAAAGGGGCAGAAGTGAGGCAGACATTGGAAGGCAGGACAAGGGACCCCGCCCCACTTCTTTACATGCTATGCTGACTACAGCAGCACCCAGCTCCATAACCTTGCAGCCACTGAAGCTTCCACTCATAAAATCAAGCAATCAGACATCAAAGAAATAGAACACTCTAACCACAAACATTCTAGCCATCAGCATAGGGACTTCCAAAAGACCTTCCCCAAATGAACATGCACTGTAGGGTCTTAGATTATCCTAATCTAAATTTTGCATCATGTTAATGATAAAAATTATACCCCTGCATGAAGATTTAAGATGCCAGTGAGGCCTGAGACACAGGAAAAAACATGACAAGGGACTGCAAAGGTGTTTCCAAAGCAGACCACGCCAAACATGCCATGATGTCACCTGGACAAAGCCCAGAAAAGAATAACAAAGTACACTAGCTTGCTTTCAAGGAGCCAGCTGCAAGTATACCTCTGGCTGCCGTCTCCCTTTCTGCTCAAACCGAAAGCCCTAATAAACTGCCTTGCTCAAGTCCATCTTACATTCTTTGTCGATTTCTATTTTGTGAGGGTCAAGAACCCACTGCTGGTATTGGAGAGGGTGCAAATTAAAAACCAATAAGATCTGCAAGGCAAATGGAGACGAGTCTCTATATGGCCTTGTAGACCAGTATGACTACTGTTTTATTCTGAGTGAGATGGGAGCCACTGCAAGGTTTTGAGCAGAGAACTGACATACTCTGATTTATAGACACACACACACATATATATGTATATATGTATATATATGTGTGTGTGTGTGTATATATATATATAAAATTTTTTTTTTTTTTTTTTTTGGAGACAGAGTCTCATTCTGTCACCCAGGCTGGAGTGTAGTGGCGCAATCTCAGCTCACTGCAACCTCAGCCTCCCAGGTTCAAGTGATTCTCCTGCCTCAGCCTCCCCAGTAGCTGGGACTACAAGCGTGTAGCCACCACACCTGGCTAATATTTTGTATTTTTAGTAGAGATGAGGTTTCACCATGTTAACCAGGATGGTCTTCATCTCCTGACCTCGTGATTCGCCCGCCTCAGCCTCCCAAAGGGCTGGGACTACAGGCATGAGCCACCACACTGGACCTGATTTATATTTTTAAATGAGCTATCTGGATGCCTGATGAAGAATAAAGTGTGATGGGACCAGGGTAGGAGCAAGGAGACCAGTTGAGAGGGTACTACAGTAATGCAGTTGAGATGACAGTGGCTTGGACCAGTGTGTTAGTAGTACAGGCTATGAAAAGTGCTTGGATTCTATATATATTTTGAATTAAGGTTGATAGTTTTTTCTGAGCTACTGAATGTGTAGAGTATGAAAAACAGACAAAAATGTATGATGATTCCAATGATTTTAGCCAAAGCAACTGGAATTGGAGGTATCGATTGCTAAAATGTGGAAAAATAAGAAAGGAACAAGTTTTGGAGAGGATTCAAATTCTTATTTTTGTATATCCAGAGAGAATTTAAGATGCCTGTTACATATCTAAGAGAAAGATATGAAAGATATGAAATAGGCAGTTGGCTATAAAAACCTGCAGGTTAGAAAAGAAACATGGGGCCCAGTGCAGTGGCTCACACCTGTAATCCCAGCACTTTGAGAGGCTGAGGCAGGTGGATCACCTGAAGTCAGGAGTTCAAGACCAGCCTGACCAACATGGAGAAACCCCATCTCTACTAGAACTATGAAATTAGCCAGGGTGGTGGCGCATGCCTATAATCCCAGCTACTTGGGAGGCTGAGGCAGGAGAATCGCCTGAACCTGGGAGGCGGAGGTTGTGGTGAGCCGAGATTGTGCCGTTGCATTCCAGCCTGGGCAAAAAGAGCGAAACTCCGTCTCAAAAAAAAAAAAAAAAAGAAAGAAAAGAAACATGGAAACATAATTCACAGTCAAAGCATAATTGCCATAAGAGTAAAAAAGCCACAAGATGGGACTAAATCTCTTAAGAAAGAAGGTAGATAATAAAGAGAAAAAGCTTTGGGTCAAAGAAGTAAAGAATGTTTGT